TTGCCTTTACCATTCTGAGCTCTATGAGTTCTGTCTTCAGGAGAGTTCCTCCTCCTGAGTTCTGCTTCTCTCACAAATCATAGTGATGACAGTTGCTTAGGAACTGAAGGAACAAGACAGTAAATGCAGAAGAAATCTCTTGGACTGGGAGCCAAAATCTTTTCTACCCTTGAAACATTTTTTGTTATAGCAGAACTTATGCATTCATGGTGGGTGTTAAGCCTCTCAAGCCCTTTCTATTGAGTCTACTGAAGAGTAATAACTCTAGTTGACCAGCTCTAGAGCTAGTATCTCTGTCTTATGTCACATGGAATGATGACAGAGTAATGCTTTTAAATGGGGCTGTTATGAATTGACCAGTAGGGAAGAGAGCTTCTGTAGAGGTACTTGCATGCAGCTGTGGCAGTCTTTCCTTCCCAAGAGCTGTCTGTGCCCCTGGAAGAGAGCTGTTTGTGGACTAACAAGCCTTTTGAGTCTTACCTGCTCTTAGCAAAGAAAAATCCCCTTATGAAACAGGATTCTCAACAAGAGGAGGTAGTTTTGAAAATGAGTCCCTAAAATAATTAATAGTGATCAGAGCAATTCCAGTTTAACCTGGGCAGTGACTTGTGTAATGCTCAGGCTTTACACTGATTCTTTACAAATGAATAGTGTATGACTTACTTATGTATGATTTATACCTAGGAAGCATTCTCTTGCTGGAAGGTTGATGCGATACTTTTTTAAAAAAATGTTTTTACTGATGTTTTAGAGAGGGAAGAAGAGAGAGAGAGAGAAATGTTGATGTGAGAGAGAAACATCAATTGGCTGCCTCCTGCACACCCACTGCTGGGGATCGAGCCTGAAACCAGGGCATGTGGCCAGGAATTGAACCAGGACCTCTCAGTCCATGGGAGGACACTCAATCCACTGACCCCACTGGCCAGGCTTTTTTTTTTTTTTTTTTATACAAACTAAAGTATTAAAAGAATACAGGGTACTCTTGATTAATCAAAGGAGCCAGACTTAAGTGATTTTATTTATTTTATCCTCACCTGAAGATATTTTTCTATTTATCTTCAGATAGAGTGGGAGGGAGGGAGAGAGAGAGAAAGAAACAGCAACATGAGAAGGACATATAAACTGGTTGCCTCCCACATGACCCCAACCAGGACCGGGGACAAACCACAACCAAGGTATATGCCCTTGACCAGACTTGAACCTGCGACTCAATGGTCTACAGGCCGATGCTTCAACTATTGAGCCAAACTGGCCAGGGCAGTGATTTAAAAAATATATACAATATTATGAGATTTATGACAACTGTGTGTGTGTGTGTGTGTGTGTGTGTGTGTGTGTGTTCCAGAAAACAGAATGTAATATAAGTAATGAAGTTAACACTAGAAATATCCTAGCCCGTTTATTAGCCGTGTTATCTTTGAGAAGTTCACTTAACCTGTCTTAGTCTTTATGAGGAATTTTAAATAAATCTTTGTTTTTCAAACTCTGAAACTCACACCAGATTACTAGAGATGATTTTAGGTGGCATAGGAGATCATTTCAGGCAGTTTCCTGGTAAAGCACGGACATAAACATTGAGTCACATCATTGAGAAAGTTGTACTTTTTCCAGTTTTTTTGATTATCAAAGACAAAGTCTCAATTTGGTATCAAGATATCTTGAATAGTTCTTTAATAGTGGATAATTGTTTGGTGGGGTGTGGAGGTGGGTGGGGGTAGGCACTGTAAATCCTTCATCCCTCAAGAGTTTTCATCCAGGGGAAATAAATTCCGTTCCTTAGAAGGGTCAAGCACAGAAGTGCTTGTTTGCTCTTTCTGTCTACCTCATTTCCCCTCCACCTGCAGTGAAAGAAATGTGTTGTGCAACTGGTGCTTGAGTGGAGGCACAGTCCTGTCTGGCTTCTCTCATGGAGTGGCCCATTCTTAGAACACATGTTCCTCCTCCTCTGTCGTGTAGTAGGGCTGGGTTGACACACTCTGCTTAGACCTTGGTGGGAACTGTTGGGGAACCCATGAGACCATTAAACACACACACACACACACACACACACACACATTCTGTAATTCATCCTATTGGTAATCAAGTTGATACATTTTGATTGCCATTTTATTTCTCTCCTCATTTCTCATTTAGGTTTAAACTTACAGGAGATATAAGGGGAAAAGCAATTGTCAGCCCTTAAAACCTCACTAATAATCAGTCTTTTTAAATAGAAATCTGGCTTGAGCTTAGAGCCCTTAAATAAGCAATAGTATCTATATGGAATTTAATAACATGGTTTTGTTTTCAGTGAAGTTATAGTTACTGTCTATAAAATAAATTCATTTACTTTTTTAAAAGTGAATTTTTTTTTATCCTCACCTGAGGACATTTTTCCATTTTTTGTTCAGATAGAGTGGGAGGGAGGGAGGGAGGGAGGGAGAGAGAGAGAGAGAGAGAGAGAGAGAGAAAGAAAGATCGACGTGAAAGGGACACATCGAGTGGTTGCCACCCGCACGACCAACCAGGGCTGGGGACAAACTGCAACCGAGGTACGTGCCCTTAGCAGGAACCGAACCCAGGTCTCTCTGGACCACAGGCCGGCGCTCTAACCGCTGAGCCAAACTGGCCAGGGTTGAAAGTGAATTTTTAAAACACTAAATAGTACAGATGATACATGGATATGGTAAAAGTTATAAACGTGGTACAAAAATGACTAAAATTTAGGAAACACTGAATAAGATTATCTCTAGGATCTATTCCTGATTTAAATAGTTTTGGGTGTGTATTCCAATAGAATAAAAAATGTTATGTGGTAAACTAAGTAAAAGAAAGGACCTTCTAACATAACGTTGTTTTCTTTCACTTTGAAATGTATCATATTGAGGAAGCAAACTTTGATATATATGCCTTTTATTTCTAAATATAAACACCCTTAATAGTATACTAAGCAGCAGATTGATATCTTTTTGATAGTAGGTTTTTGGTGATGGTGTTTTATTTATTTATTTATTTATTTATTTATTTATTTATTTATTTTGCTGAAAGCAATCTAGTTCTGGGTGAGGTTTTTGAGCTAGAAATCATGGAGTCAAGAACTAATTATTACTGTATACTCTGCCTAATACAGTGTTTAGCACAAAGTAGTGTTCAATAACTATTTGAACAAATAAATGAATGAACAAAGAATCAACAAAAATAAACTGAGTTCTCTGTCTTGAAGGTATAGACAGTTTTCATTTCTTCCTGAAAGCTGGCAATAGGGTATCTAGGAAGGTGATACCTGGGGCAATCAGAGGGGAATACTTCCACTTAGGTGCAATTTAGTCACACAGAACATTTAGAATAACCTTATTAGGAAAAAATCATAAAAGGAAGGTGGCCCTACTAATTTTGTTTTGTTTATGGTCATATATAAGAAGCTAGTGTCTTCCTTTCTTTCTCTCTTTTGTTTTTTATAAAAATGAACTGCCTTTCTCCATTCATACTGTTTTTTCTCTAATTCGTGTACTACTTATCTTATCTCCACATCAGAGAAAACACCCCAGTTTTTCTGGCCTTAGGGAGACTATTTGAGTTCAACTGCAAATCCAGCCCACTCTTTCCCCACACACTCTTAATTACCATTTCTCTCATGACAAAGGTGCCCAACTCTTTCTTAACTGACAACCTAGATGAACTGCCATACTGGTAGTAAGTTTCTTTATTATCCTTTATTTATGCAACAAACATCATGTTTCAAGGGCTTTGTTCTGAGAATCCTGAAATCAGTTTTACATATCAGAGAGAGACTATTAGCTAGAAGTTTTTAATTCTTAGTTATACTACTGACTTTCTCATAACTATGCAATTGGTTTGAATGATTACATTCCCAGATCATGTAATTTATTTTAAAACTTTTTGCATATATGCAGAAAAACAGAATTTGAGGACTGTGTTTCATTCTGGTGAATGTATTTTAAATGTATTCTAGGTTTAATCTCTACAAGTACATTCTTTCTGTAATGGTTTAGTGATTAGCTATGATTCTCATTCATTATGCACAATGACAACATCTTAACTTGAGATATATGTTCAGGTTAATACTTTCTGTTATTGAAATTTTAATTCAGTACACTTTATATTTGTGAAATCTCTCTGCCTGGTATCTTTGTGTCTTCTAGTTATTGCTACATGGTCTTTAATATGTAAACTTTAGGGATGGGGGCTATGACATTTTGATTCTTCTCATTGCATTATAAAATAGATAGAAGAGTGACATTAGTGACATACAGAAGTTGGATTCTGAAACTAATCACCATCTGCAAAAATTAACATCTAATCTCTGTTGTAACTTTAAATTAATATCTAGATTCTATTATTATCATAATTGAGAATATAATAGGTCTATTTTGGCCAAGAAAAAAATAGACTAGAATTATCTAACTTTTCTAATCTCTGTTGTAACTTTAAATTAATATCCAGATTCTATTATTATCATAATTGAGAATATAATAGGTCTATTTTGGCCAAGAAAAAAATAGACTAGATTTATCTAACTTTTTTTCCTAAAAAGATATAGATGTTTGTAGTCTTTAGGTATCACAAGAGCCATTTGCTATAATGACAAGCTGAAAATTTTGAAGATACTTTATATCTAATTAAAAACTACAATAATAACTGCAAAAAACAGAACATAGTCTAGCTAGCTGTGTCCACTTGCAATATGGTTATTCTCTGATTAGATGCTCTGAGTGCTGGATACCATCCTTCTCTAGGGTAGAGGTGTTGCCTCGGTAGCATATTATGATAGAAAAGAATAGCTATGGACTTGAGATGCACACCAACCTGAATGTGAACTTGGGCTCTGCCACTTTTGTGTTAACACCTTAGGCAAGTTACTTAACTTCCTGTGTAAAGTGAAAATTATAATACTTCTCTAGAGTTGCTATGAAGATGAAAGCACCCAGAGTGAGTTATTGTTACATGGTAGTTGTATGAGCAGTGCAGTGTGGTAGTGATCATGTTTTCATATTTTTCAGGTGAAATAAAAGACAAAAATGTTCAGGTGGTTGAGCTCCCCATTGTAGACAGTCTTCATCCTCGTCCTCCCTATTTACCCCTGGCTGTACCAGAAGACCTTGCAGATCGACTTGTTCGAGTCCATGGTGATCCTGCAGTGTGGTGGGTGTCTCAGTTTGTCAAGTACTTGATCCGCCCACAACCTTGGCTGGAAAAGGAAATAGAAGAGGCCACCAAGAAGCTTGGCTTCAAACATCCAGTTATTGGGTAAGAATCTGATTTGTTCTTAAAATGATATGGAGTAGCAAGGATATATGCCTTTACAGTATATTGTGAACTTTCCGTGCAAAAACAGGTTCTCAAGTTCACCTTTGGCCACAGGGAAATTATTCTTTCTTCATTTACTTAGAGTGGCTGACTCATCGCACTTGGTCACTCCTATTTTATTTATTCATTCAACAAATGTATTACGCCCATATTTCTGAAATTAGCTGTCTCTCCTGGGGAAACCAGCATGATTTTATTTTATTGGGAGTATTTTGGATATTACGCATAACCCTGTCTTACCCTAACAGGCCGTGAGATGACGCTATCACGTTTATAGCTTTCCGGTTATGCTTCATTAAATGGCACTGGTCATTATTTTGTTTTTTTGAAGTTCTGTTTTTTTTTTTCTGTCCTGGAAACTATTTTGACAATAAGGATATAATTAGTACTGAGGTAATATAAATTATTATTTAAAATGATCTCTTGACCCACTTAGGAGTTACAGTGTACATATGTATTCAGTCTAGTGCTTTTATTAAGGGACATATATCAGGAAATCTTGGGAGCAAGAAATATCCAAAAGAACATCTTGGCGCACAAGCATGTGCTCCTATGCATGTACAAAAGAAGTTACAGAAAAGGGAATTTTCCTGGGTCCTGATGCCAGATTTCACACCACAGGAAATGTTCTTTGCCTAATGGAAAGAATACTGGACTGAGAGTTAAATGACTTGGGTAATATTCCTGACTTTTTCCTATTTCTCTGCCAAGTTACCTAATAGTAGTATTGGGCTTTTCATCTGTAAAACAGAGTGGGTAATACCTGCCCTAAAAATGATGATGTGATAATATTAGGATTAAAAAATGATTTTAATTCTGTGGAAAAGAATGCACTGTAAAATTCTATCTCCTTTCAGAGGGACTACTGCTTAAATGATTCCTGAAAATAGACTTATAGACTAGACTATGGCATTCTGTAACTTATATTGTTTGTGATAAAGTAAGCTATTGATTAATATTAATACATTGCTGATTCACTCACTTATTTGCAAAGCATATATTGAATACTACTACTGTCAAGAACAGAGATTAATTTTTTTCAAATGGCCTTCGGCTCATTTTAGCCTGTGGAATAAGAGACTTACATAACTAACATTATATGGGTAGAATGTGAAAAATACCATAGGAGAAACATTAAAAGTATTATAAGAGGTCAGGGAAGGGGAAATGTACTTCTGTCTCGACCAGAAAAGGCTTCACAGCTATAGTGTTTGAACAGGATCTTGACAGATAGAGAAAGATAGCGGTATTTAAATTCCAAAATGCCTTCAACTACATTATCTCATTGATCCTGTAACACAGTCATGTAAAGTGAGCAGAGAATTATTTTATAGGTGAGGAACCTAAGAAAAGAAAATCTCTGCCCAAAGTTTCAGAACCTTTTTAACTTTGGATATCCCCACAGAAAGTAGCCCTTATTAATTTCCCATGGGCCATCCACCACGTGGAGAGTTGGTCAAATATAGAAAATTGAAGTAGCACAGACAACGAGGTTATTTGCACAGGGAGGTCATGTGCTGTAATGAAGAGGATTGTGAGCTCTGGGGGGGGGGGGGTCTCATCTAACGTCCACCACTAACAAGTTATGTGACTTTGGACAACTTAGTTGCTCATTATGGGCCTTCATTAATTGCCACTCTTTTCTCATTTGTTATAAACAAAACACTAGATTAGACGGTATTTAAGGTTTCTACTAACAATACTAACCAGATTTTTGTGTCTACTTATCGTTCATCCATTCATTTATTCATTTTGTTTGTTGAAATTGCAAATGAATAAAATCAGATTCCCTGCACCAAAAGAGCTTGATAACTAATAGTGAAAGTCAGTCAGGTACACAAATAACTTCTACTTTTGTGAAGCCTGGGTTGAGGTGCTTTATTGTCTTGCTCACGGAAATGTCTTCAGAAGCATCGGTTTCCTTAATTGTCAGGTGAAAGAGTTCCATTAAATTAAATGACTTCTACTACCCTTCACAGGTCTAACATTCTGATTCTTCCATAGAGATTTCATTATGGTCCTCTGTCAAATTATTGATCCAGGCCTAATTTCAGGAGTACTTGGAGAATTGAGAAAATACCTTTGTGTTGTACTCTGCCACTGTCTCAGATGTTCCTCTTCCTTTGATTCTTCTTTCTATTACATCTCTCCTTTGCTTTTATTTTTATTTTCATAACCCCCACCCCTACTTCTTCCCTTGTCTCTTAGTCTTCATATGTATAGAAGTTACTGACCCCTATTCCAGATGTTAAAGCTAATGAGCGTACAAGGTGAAATCAGAGTATCAAATAGTGTTTCTTCTCATGAAAATGTTCACTGAAATTCAGTGGAATTGTTCTTTTTTGTCTTCATCTCTTCGGAGCACAGTGAACAATCCCAGTTTCCTGAGAGAAGCAGTGATTAAGAAGGATGTGAGCCCTGGCTGGTTTGGCTCAGCGGTTGGAACATTGGCCTGTGGACCAGAGAGTCCTGGATTCAGTTCCCACTAGGGGCACGTACCAAAAAAAAAAAAAAAAAAAGGAGGATGTGAGGAGAAAAGATGATAGACATGTTCATATAATAGTATTCATATCTCAATGCAAACGAAAGAATAGCCATGAGGATGTCAGAGTAACTTCCATGAAATCAACCCCCCACTCCAGATTCATCATAAAAAGCTGGCCTTTGCTTGACCTAAAGGGAAACAGTCTCCCTTCTTCCTTCCACATATGAATAGTGGTCTAGGAATTTGGGGAGAGGAAGCATACAGAAAAGGCAAATTTCAGGAGAGCTGTAATTTATGAAGATAAGCTATGATTACTATTGTTCTTATTTTCATTAAAATCGCTTTGAAAGCACTAAGATGGGAGAATACTGTGGAAATCAATGCCTTCTTCAGTGAGGATGGTGTAAGCCTCTGTGTCCCCAATTTTACAGTTTTGGAGCTTTTCTTAAATAGGATAGATAAGACAGATCAGTATCTGCTTGTGTTTGATAGAGTGTGAAAATCAGAGAAAGGAAATTCCTTATGCATACAACAAAAGGGCTGGAATGGCTCCTGAAATTTAAAAATAGTGCAAACCCTTAAAAGGTTTGCCTGCTTTGACTGCGCTGTTGGAGGCACACATGCAAGGTCTGTGTTTTCTTCGGGCAGCTTTAAATTCTACAAGTTGGTGGTTACAGAGTGACCAACAGAGCAAAATGATGAAAAAGAAAAACTTGGCATGAAAACATTACAAACAATATATTTAATGTTCTATAATAACAACTTTGAATCTTGGTATCATTTGCTGTAAAAAATCTTAAAAGTGATATCCAGTTTTTTCTGGAAGGCTAGTTGGTATTTTGTTGCCTAGTATGGACTGTAACTCTGAATTCCCCACTTATTCCTGATATGCCAATTACTCTCTCTATAAGAAAGCATTCTTTAAAGGCTTTTTTTGGTTAAATTCCCATTATATTGTGTTAACATACAAATATATGTAAGACATGTGTGTTTGAATTTTTTAAATATTTGTTTTATTTTTTAATGGCAAAAAATGAAAAGAAAATTGGTTAGGAATGTTCATAATGCCACCATGAATAGGGATTCAGATCCAGTGGATCAGAACATTATCAGAATCTGACTCTGTCCCTCTGCCCCCAGAGTCCACGTCAGACGCACGGACAAAGTCGGGACAGAGGCTGCCTTCCATCCCATTGAGGAGTACATGGTGCACGTCGAAGAACAGTTTCAGCTTCTTGCTCGCAGGATGCAAGTGGATAAAAAAAGAGTGTATTTGGCTACAGATGACCCTTCTTTATTAAAAGAGGCAAAAACAAAGTAAGTTGGATGAAGTAGTGATTCCAGAGTGGGACTCTTTTCAGTTGATAGGAATCCTTAATTCCCACGACTTGTGATTTTTTTGTTATAATATTATTACTGATTATCGGGGTTTTTTAAAAATTCAAACAACATTGTACTCGAGTAACTTGTTAATATCACTAACGTAATGGTGAGGTGCCAGCAAAGTGTGTGTTTCATTCTGAAGCCCCTTTTCTTGGCTTATTGGCAGCTGTCATCTCTCTATGTACTCACATGACCTCTTTGTGTGCTTAGAAGAGAAAACAAACTTTCTGGTGTCTCCTCTTGTAAAGGCACTAATTCCATTGTGAGAACCCCACCCTCATAGGCCCTATCTCCAAATACCTTCACACTAGGGGGTTAGGGCTTGAACATGAATTCTGGGGAGACACAGGTACTTGCCCTTTTTCACTCACACTTTCACTAACAATTACAGGGAACTGAAAATATAGGTAAGATGTTTACAAAAATTTCTGGGATTTGGAAGTTATATTAAAAAAATATAAAGAATCAAAAGATAAGTTTTGTAAGTGCAGGGGAAAGACTATTACTGGGTATTGAAGAGTGACCATCATTTATTGAACCTGCCTGTATTGTAGGCACTGTGCTGAGTCCTGGGTATCCATGATAAGCAAGACACTCTCTGCTCTCAAGAAATTTTCATTCTACTTGGAGAACAGACAGTTACTCTACAGAATAAGTAATGCTATTATAGAATTAACATCAGATGTTATAAAAACACATAAAGCACTGATCCTAATTGGGAATTTATTATAGGATCTGGATGAACCTAGAGTTGGCCTTTATTTACTACCAATAAATAAAGGCTGTATTAAATATATGTGAAAGAAGGGAATGGGGAGAAGAAAATTGTAATCTTAACTCTGCTCAGGTACCATCTATTTCAGAAATCACCCCCAAATGCCTACGTGTCCCTCCTCTGTGCATTCCTGTCAGTGTTAGCACTTGCTTATATCGTATCCCTCACGAGATTATAAGCACTTAGTCACAGTACCCAGCTCCAGTAACTGGTGTCTAGTAAATACTGAATTATGTTTACTTCAGTCCCTTAAGTTTAGAAGCATTTTTTTAATCATTGAAGCTATTTTACTATGTAATTTATTGGTCCCTTTTTTATGTCACAAATGGGAGTTGGGAAGAAAAACAAATATAGAATGAGGACTATAATGCAGATGGTTTTCCAAATTATTGGATAATAATTTAATCTTATTTCTACCTCCTAAGAATTAAAATTAAACTGATATAAATTACTTTTTTCCCTAAGTCTCCATTGACTACACACACACACACACACACGTGCACACTTATAAACAAGAACCAAGAAATTTACCAAACAAGTATAAGCCAAGTTATATAGTTGTAATTTTTACATAAGAGTTAGGGATTATATGGACATTTGGACACAAAACACAATAAAAAAATTTCACAAGTGCTTTTCCAGTGTGATATCTAGACCTATTAGAGAGAAGTAGAAACTATTCACCTTGCTCCTTCATTTAAAAATACCAGACTGAACCATAACTTGGTTGAGAAAATACTAAAATATTAATTTCATCTACTCTTTTATTCTTGAATGCATTATAAGCTTTTCTTTCTTTTTTTCACCTCGATTAACAAAATAATTTATGCTCATTAGAAAATATGGAAGTTGGTAAGTATACGAGCAAAGAAAAAATAATGCCCACAATTCCATTACTCAGTGGCAGTAACTGTTTAAATTTTGACATGTTCCCTTCAATCATGTATATAGTTGCACATTTTAGTAGTTTAACCTATTGTATATAATTTGACTCTTTTTAAAATTAATATAGCAATAGGTCCATTTTTCCAGCTTACTATAAAAATCATTATAAACATCTTTTTAAATAACTACATAACCACTGTATGGATATGCCATTGCTTACTTGACCATTCTCCTAATATTGGATAGTTAGGTTATTTACAGTGTTTTAATCTTATAAATAATGCTATAATATGTGCCTAAAATTATCCCCATTATTTCATTAAGCTATATTTCTAGACTTGAAAGTATTTAGATAAACCTGAGGTTTTACAGTTTTGATTCATAACACAGCATTACATTTTTACACTAAGGAACCCTTGCACAGTTGTCTGTACTTGGATTATGGGAATAGTAAAACTTGAATTTCCTTTTTGTGGTCAGCAGCTCGTAACTCATTTCCCCACTGCAGTCCAGGCAGCAGTTTCCTTCATGTTCTACTATAAATGTGGTATCCTTTTATGCATATTTTTCCTCTTTGAAAATCCTTTAGTTTTAATTTTCTGAGTCATGAAGAGGAGTAATCTCCCTCAGTCTGGAGAAAGACTTCTGAAAAGAAAATATGATGTTAGTTTATAACTTCAAGTTAGTCTTTGTGGGTGATATAAAAATAATTTTTTATGAGGTAGAAGAATAAAAAAATATTTTTGATCATTTCCAACCTCTACAACTTTACAATGGAAGAATTGCTCTGCTGACATACTTGTGGATAAAAGACAAAAACGAAGCCTGTTTGTACAGAAAGTTCCATACTCATTATTGGAGGTGCAAACTCTCCCTCTCATTATTCACTTTGTTTGTTTGTTTTTTTCTACTCTCAGTATCCTTCATCAAGTGGTCTTTTGCATGTAGAGATCAGGCCTGAGAAACATAGGTGCCATTTGGGTTTGGTTCCAGAGAAGGGCCTTTAAGTTAAGAAGGGCATTAATGTTAGCATCTCTTCTCAGTAAAAGGATCACTCTTTTCTTTGTTTCACTGAGCATCCAAACTGTATGACAGAGTTGGTCTTTATTCAAGGATAAAACCTTTGCTGGCGTGTGTTAGCAATTCCCCTCTTTCCTCCACCCTCCAGCCTTTTCATATTTATTTATTGCTGTTTCTGCCCCATGCCTGGGTATGCAGCTTTGCAGGAATCACATTAACAGTCTTTTTGGTTGTTTTCTTTTTAGAACAAATGTGACAGTTCCTTCATCTCCCTGATTTGGAGCTGAGGAAGGCAAAATGTCAAAAATAATGAGGCCAAATGGATCTGAACACTGAACACCAGTCTGAAACAGCGCTCAGAGACTTTACCTTCACAGTAGTTATTAGAGGCAATGAGAGAAAGCTCCGTAGAGGTTGTGAAAGGAAGAGAAATCAGAAGCAGCTGTTAGGGGATTAGGAAAAAGTCCCAGACATAGATAGCACTCACTTGTTCATGTATTTATTCACATAGCATTGTGTGGAATACTAGAAAATGTGATGCAAAGAAAACTAAGGCTTAGTCCCAACTTTGGGGGGAATACTATATGGGAGAAAGACACACAAACTGACTCATAATCTTTCAGGGTTTATAAATAGGAATTGTTGTACTTTCAACAAATACCTACTGATCCTCTGTTTTATCCCAGATTCTCTTATAGGTGCTCAGGATAATAGAGTGAGCAAAACAGATGAAATGCCTCTCTTCAGTTAGGGATGATGGAGGTGGGGAATGAATTGATGCAGGCAGGAAATAAACGTAAATATATATTATGTCAAGTGATAATAAGAGCCATGGAGAAAAATTAAGCAGGTAAAGGGATACAGATTGCCAAAATCCTTACTAAATAAGACTATATTTGAGCAGAGATCTAAAGGAAGTAAGGAATAAAACCAGATGTGTGTCTGGAGAAAAATGTTTAACAGTCACAAACAATGTTTATTGAGCATGTACTATATGTCAGTTACTCTTCTGAGTACTTTACATTGCTTAGTGTATTTATTCAATGCTTATGAAATTATATAAAGTATGTACAATTATTATCTCCTTTTCATGTAATTTCCCAAAGTTTGCATTTTAACTCAGAAGATCTATCTCATGCACTGAAAAAAAATTTAGTCACTCTATACTAGAGTATAATTACACCTCTAATTCAGAGTAGACTCATTTGAACATATGGGACTTTTAAAGACATCTTATTTTAATAGTTTTAAAAATCCTATCTCAAGACTACTAAAATGTTACTTGGGTGGACATCAACAAAAAATTTGCCTTCATAATGTATTATAATGGTTTTGCATTACTTTTATTAGTTAAAATAGTGCTTCAAGGATGGTGGTTAGAGAACAAGTCTGAAGTATCGCAAATTCTGAGTTAAACATTTAAATGAAGTTTAATCATGATATTTATATTCTAAAGGAAAAGCTCAGTGACCAAATATGAAAGCAGCTGCAAACCCTCTTAGAGGTCACTCATTACAAGGAAAATAGGAGCCTTCTGTTTTCAACTTTTTCATGAATTGAGAAGGGACATTTTGGTGTGCAGTGTGTGTTTTATGGCATGCCAGTGACATTTATCATACAGGGACCTCCACAATGTTTTCTGTCCCACTGATGGATTCAGACACTTCACTGACTACTCTCTTGAACGTTATAATTTCAAAGCTCCCTTTACTGTTAGAAAGAGAGGAATTCTTGGTCAAAGGAGCAGTTCTGCGGCCTGCTGATTGAATACTACCTCCTGATAGAATGCCCTGATTTCAGTGACTATGTATGAATTTATTTCTTTTTCAGGTACCCCAATTATGAATTTATTAGTGATAATTCTATATCTTGGTCAGCTGGACTACACAATCGATACACAGAAAATTCACTTCGGGGTGTGATTCTGGACATACACTTTCTCTCCCAGGCAGACTTCTTAGTGTGTACTTTTTCATCCCAGGTAAGTGATAGCAGGGTATTTTTAAGAGGCCAATACTTTTTGGTCATCTTGGGGTCAGGAAGTTCTTGGAGGGTTTTTGTGTGTGTGTTTTTAATATTAGTTATCATGATTCAGTTGCAATTTTTCTGTTTGAGAATGATCCCTTTTGTGGAAGTATGAAAGCCCCCCCCCTCCCCCCAGATAGCTATTTAGGTACACTGAATATTTCGTTGTTTGCAAGCAACGGTTGAATACATCTCCACTGAAGCCAGCTACTAGAGCTGTTTAAAGTGCTCGGCTTATTCACGGCATTTAACACAAACAGCAAGTAATTAAGCTTGCCTAATACTTTCTGATTTTGCATACGGTCAATATTTAACCAGAATCCATCCATTTCTACACATCAATGCACTGATACTGAGAGCCTTAAATGCACAACATTTTGCCTCATTTGATTGCTTTATAGAAAATAAGAAAGAGTAAACGAATTCCTCTTCAAGTCCTTTTATATTTCTACCAAGCAAGAAACTGTACATTAAATTTAAGCCATTAAATTGTACCATATTACAGTCATTCTTTGAGTTTAATTGTTGCAAATAATGTGTTATGGGTTAGGTGTATGTGTTTTTATGGGTGATCCAAGCAGCCTTTTATTTCCCAGTGGAATACCAGCGTAGCGATATATAGTGTGCATTTTATTCTGCTCTTTCATGTACTTGCATATTGTTGCTTAGTTCATTCAAAATCTGCTAAATGACTATTTGTACTCAGAATTATACTAGGTGTAGAGGGGATTTCAAAGGAGATGAAGATACAGATTTACCCTGGTCCTGAATCTGGTGAGCAAAATACTCAACATAAAATAACCACCAAGAAATATAAATCATGTAAGAATAATATATGCCTAAAAGCTTAGAAGAACTTGAGAAAAGAACATGTGAAGAGGAAAAGTACATCATTTTCATGAGACTATACTTCAGAGAGTATAAAGAAAGGGACAGTTTTCTGTCATGTGACAGTGCACTTGTCACAGTGGGATGATGATACGACTGTTGGAAATATACCTACCCCAGCAAAGGCTATACAGGTATTTTTAATATGAAATAAGAATACAACTTAGTACCAAAAAAGACAGCTACACAGAATAGGAGTCACATAGGCAGCAGTCCTGGTCAGAAGGGAGAGATTCCTTGGCCTCCCAAGTTCCCACAGAGGCATCCACTGCTGATGTTTCTCCCTAATTAGAGTCATGAGCCTGTCTTTGAAAAGCTCCCTTTTCTATTCTCAAGGGTTGAGGGTGGGGACTATCTTATAACTACTTCGTCTCTCAACTGTTTTTGACAATCTGGCTATGTGTCTACCTGGTCAACAGGTACAAATAATTAGTAACAACCTCCACACAGTTTTGAATATGTATTTTTAGAATGAAAACCACGAGTCACTTTCCCATGTGTACAGCCTCCTCTGTGGGCCTAGACTGTGGGCCTGCCTAAGGTTTGTTCCTCTAGTCCAGGGCTTCTCGGCCTAGGCACCATTGGCATTTGAGGCCACATAGATTGTTGTAAGGTACTGCCCTGTGCACCCCCACCTAAAGCTGTGACAGTCAAATTACCCACTGTCCTGTAGGGCAAAATCACCATTGTTGAGAACCACTGCTCTAGTCATAAAGCTCTAAAATCAAATAAAAATGTATGTCTGAACATTACCAACTGTGCACATGGGTGAGCACTGAGACTCACGGAGGTGCTCGATGCTTTGCTTTCCTTCTTCCGGCACCAAAATCACCACAGGAAAATATTACTTATCTTCCCCCTGTGACACTTAGCAGCATTCTTGTGACACTCTTTGTTGTCTAATTCCAAGTCCACATACAGCATTACTTGCCTCACTGCACTCTGGATCAGAGTTTGGAAAGTACGGTGGGAAAAGGCAGCTATTACATTCATCTTACTCCAGACGATGGCTCTGGGTTGGGATTTCCATCGAGGTGTGGCTCATGGAACAGCAGTGGTGCTGTTTTCCCATGAATGGCAGAACCAAGTAGTTTACAAGAGAAGTGCACAGGTATCCCAGCATCACCCAGTGAGACAGGAACCCACTTCCAACTTTGCACACTAGGAGATCCTCCTGGCCTGGTCTGTTTTGACAAAAAAAAAAAAATCTCAGCTACTCTGAGAAAGCTTTGGAGGCTCATGCAAACTCCGCTGGTTGTTCCTCAGGGATAAAATTCAGACCAATGGACTTTGTCTCCTTTTTAATTGTTGATTTTAATACATTCATACCTGTATTTTATCCTTTGTCAGGATTTTTGTTCTTACCCCTTACTGTGTGCTTAGGGATGTTCTAAAAGTAGTACAATCATGTCAAAACAGAATGAAATAAAACACAAGATGTGGCCAGCTACTGCTTTGCAAGCCAACGGGTTTGCCCCTCTCGGTCATGCTACCTCTCAGGTATCAAACCTGAGGATTGATCAAGTGAAAGCCTGCATTTACCAGCCACATTATTTGGATTTGTAAAGCCCAGGAAGCCTAGGGTGATTAAATGCAAACATCAACATGATAGTAATCTTTCTAGCTTTGCAGTGAATTGCCCCATGGTTAATAGAGAGAAAAAATTCTAATTACTCAATGTTATATATGGATCTTAAGGATTAAATATCCCCTGTGGACTTGGATCTCGACTGCTGGGCTGGTGTGGTTCCTGGAGCTGTACTCATTCAGCAGACGCTTACTAAGTGCCTAGTATGTGGCAGGCACTGCCCTGGGTACTCATCCTAAGGCAGGTCAGTGTGTGGTTGAGAGCCAGAAAGAGGAATAATTGTAGCTCTGCCAATTACTAGCTCCTTTTTGATTTGCTTTGCCTTTTTTTAAAAAAACTGTTTGAAAATTTACTTAATCTTTCTGTGGCTTAGTTTCTTCAATTGTAAAAAGTGAATAATAATGGTAGCCACTTCAAAGGGTTCTTGTGAGTTTTGGGTTGAAAGAGATACACATAAGCACACTATTAAAACAGTATCTGGACCATAATCAGTGCTCATTAAGCTCAGCTGCTACCATTATCACTGTTGTGAGAAGGATAAAGGACCTCATATTGGTCCATCAAGTGTTGAAAATTTCTACCATACCTTACTGCTTTGGCTTAGGAAAGTACATGTGTCATCCAGCAGACTAACACATCAGCAACTATTGATACCAAAACATAAACTGATACTTAGGATTATTTCCCCAAAAGAATGTTTCTAGGGTGTAGGACTGAGGGTATATTGTTTTTATGAGAGTAAGATATTTAATAGTGGAGAGAGGGAAATTGTTAGGGTTCATTGCCACAGTGGGTGTTGTGCTCATCGCAAGGGCAGTCAGTACAAGGCCATGCATTTCTGGCTAGAGATGATTGAAGAGTGCGAGGATGGGCACTGAAAAGAAGACTCAGGTTTGCCCAAGGCTGGCCCTAGCCTTCTGTTTTATCTTCCTGGTGTTAAAATCCAAACGTGGAGAACAGGGTGTACAAGAGAAAATATACTTAGCAGTTAACTAGCATACATAGACAGCCTGGGTTCAAAACCTGAATCTACCACTTAATAATAGTGGACCCTTGCCCAGCCAGTGTGGCTCAGTGGATTGAGCATCATCCCATGGACTTAGAGGTCCCGGTTCGATTCCTGGACAAGGCACATGGCCAGGTTTCGGGCTCAATCTCCAGTAGGAGGCGTGCAGGAGGCAGATGATCGATGTTTCTCTCTCACATTGATGTTTCCCTCTAAAAAAATCAATAGAAACATATTTAAAATATAAATAAATAAAATAATAGTGGAAACTTGGGCTAATTTATTTTTCTATTTTATTTTTTTATTATTTTTTTTTCATCCTCACCCAAGGACATTTTTTCATTTTTTGCTCAGGTAGAGTGGGAGGGAGTGAGAGAACAGAGAGAGAGAGAGAAAGAAAGAAACATCGATGTGAAAGGGACACATCGAGTGGCTGCCACCCGCACAACCAACCAGGGCTGGGGACAAACTGCAACTGAAGTACATGCCCTTAGCGGGAACTGAACCCAGGTCTCTCTGGACCGCAGGCCGATGCTCTAACCACTGAGCCAAACCGGACAGGGCTTATTTTTATTTTTAATTAATTTATTTTTTATTACAGATGTCCTTCCTTTTCCCCCCCATTGACAGCCTCCTCCCTGCTCCTGAGCCACCTCCCCCTGCACTCCACCCCCCTCCCCCACCTTTACCACACTGTTGTCTGTGTCTGTTGGTTATGCATATATACATATAAGTTCTTGGGCAGATTTCTTAACTGAGATCTTTGACATCTGTAATACGAGCATTATAGAATTGTATAGGGTTGCTGAAGGGATTAAATTAGATAATACCTAAAAATATATGACAGCAGAAACTCAGTAAATATTAGCCTCTATCATTGTTATTGTATTTTGCTATTAGAGCTGCCTTGTTTTAATTATTTAGTTTCTTCCTTTCCAGAGTCTCCACTTGATTTTGCTTGTCTTGTGTGGGCCTTTGGCTGAATTTAAAGTTTAAGTTCAAAATCGTTTTGAGCCTCATTCTGTTGTAGTCTCAGTATTCTACTAGTGTTCTCAATTGTACCATGACATTCCCAGTATAAAATCAGTTTATCGCTGAAGTAGCAGCCTCGAATGGAGTCATTGTCTTAGTTCTGTTCCAGTTCTGGTTCTGTTGGTGTAGGGACAAGAAAATTTCACTAACTGAGATAACCACAACTGGAGATTTAGGAAAATTTGACCTGAGTTGAGTTTTCTGTTCACAATGTATATTGGAAGAATTTTCTAAGCAAAATGATGTTAATCTCTCTTCTTTCTTCACCTATTCTTAGAAAAGTTTCTGAAACCTATATATGCTATAATAAATGTATTTATCAATTGCTTAAAATGTGATATCTCCATAAAGATAGTTATAGTTTAACTTAATCACCAGGCATTCGGCTCAAGGAGTGAAGCTCAGGCTGTGGAGTTTGAGCTGCCGTCCATCCAGTGGGCGTGGTAGGTGTTCTCAGGACAGCATTGGGCAGACACATCTTCCCCAAGGCTCGTCCATCGTGTTTCAGTCCTAGATTGCTACTGTCTTCACAGCACACTTCAAACTCTTTAGAACAGAAATGGTGGATATGTTTTAGCTCACTTGCCAGTGCTAGTTGATTGTCAGTAATTACACGAATTTCTATTGAGAAGAGTCCTGAGACCAAGTCCAAATGAGCAGAAAAGAGTGTGTGATTAACATTGAATGAAGGAAAGGGAGAAACAGCATTTTTGTAAAGGATTTATAATCCTTATCCTAACCTTAAACTCTTCAAAGGCACAAACTATGTCTTACTCATTTTTGTACCACCCGTGCTCAACGTGGAATGCGGCGTGGCTCTTAACAAATATTTATTAAAATTAACTGATTTGTATTCTTAAAGTACTTTGCACTATTTTTTCTCCCAGAGACCTTAATTGTAATAATTTCTTATGTTAAGGAAAAGAGACAAGCACAGAGATAAAGAATGACTTATGCTGTACCACCATCTGAGAGCAGATGGACAGACAACTGTGACTGGAATCCACTGCTTCTCATTCTGTCAGTCCTGGTCCTCGTCTAGCTCTGGTCTCTGGCCAAGGGCTTTTAGGTTGCTCTGAAGGGGATCTTACCTACACTAACAATTTTTTTTTTCATTCCTTTCCAAGGTCTGTCGAGTCGCTTATGAAATCATGCAAACTCTGCATCCTGATGCCTCTGCAAACTTCCACTCTTTGGATGACATCTACTATTTTGGGGGCCAAAATGCCCACAACCAGATTGCCATTTATCCTCACCAACCTCGAACTGAAGATGAAATTCCCATGGAACCTGGAGACATCATTGGTGTGGCTGGAAATCATTGGGATGGTTATTCTAAAGGTGTCAACAGGAAACTGGGAAGGACGGGCCTATATCCCTCCTACAAAGTCCGAGAGAAGATAGAAACAGTCAAGTACCCCACATATCCTGAGGCTGAGAAATAAAGCTGAAGATGGGAGGAGAAAGACAACCAAACTCAGTTCAAATCAGTGAGCCAAACAGGAGATGGAGAAGGTCCTGACCTAACAACACATGGATGGCTGAGTGAGTGGACACCGTCAGCACCGGGAGCAGCTGAGAACTGACAAATGCTGCGTTGGTGGATTTCCTCTTTAACAAGGGCTACAAGGCCCAAAACCCCTGCACAGTTCAATAATGTACTCACAAATAACATGCAAACAGGTCGTTTTCTACTTTGTCCCTTCTTTTAAGATCATGTCTCTATGAGAAAAACACTGCCACATTGTGTAATTTAAATGACACAGATGTTTTGTGTGAGACTTCAAACATGGTGCCTATCTCTGAGAGACCTGTGTGACCTAATGAGAAGATCCCTGCCATGAGGAGGCTGATTCTCAGCCAGTGGTGGTTCGTAATCCCTGAATTCATGCCCGTCAGCAGACTCAGAATGACAATGGATGTTTTTGTCTGAGATTTTTTAAAAAAGTAATTGCATCAGTTCATCCACCTCATCTTTAATAAGTGAAGGAGATACATCAAAATAAAATATTCTCACTCCATTAGGAACTTTTATAAAATGATGCCATGAACAGATTCTTTAATATTCAATGTTTCTGGACATTCTCTTTGATAACAAAAAATAAATTTTAAAAAGAGGAATTTTGTAAAGTTTCTAGAAGTTTACATCATTGGATGATGTGGTGGTCAGCTTTATAGTAGAAAAACTATGATAAAAAGAAGGAGTTTTATAGTTATTCTGCTTTTTTTTTTTTCTGTTGCTGATCAGGTGACTTAATCAGGTCTTGGTTCAGAGTCATTGCTCCATTTTAACACTAAAAACAGTTTAGTCGGTGCATGGTTGCAAGGTTGCTAAGAACACTCTTTGGAGCTTTTATTCTCTTATTTTGGACATTGTTTATTTGTTTCTGTTGAATTAAATAATCATATGCCTTGCCTTCAGAGGAACTGGCACCTCCAATTCCAAAACTAATCATTTGAGGCTTGTTGGTAGCTGTCCTGACTAGAGCTATTGCCACTTTTGGTGAGTTGTGTCCTTTGTTTCTCCAGGAACCATTCTGTGCCCTTTCCTATCATATCCTGCTCTGAGGGTCCAGGAATCTGTGGGTTTGGGAAGCTGGCTCTGTTTCTGAAATACGAGTCTCACAGGATGTAGAATTCAGTGGACAAAGGAGAGAACCAGTCTGAGACCCAAAGTGGACTTGGGATTATCTCTTCCAAAAAATTCCTTTTAGTAATTCCATGTTAGAATCACCTCAGACGACAGGGCTTTGATGCTCTCTAAGCTTTTTTTCTGTGAACATCCCTTTTCTCCTTTTAAAAACGCTTTCTGCCCTGGCCGGTTTGGCTCAGCGGTTAGAGCGTCGGCCTGCCGTCCCGAGAGACCCGGGTTCAGTTCCCGCTAAGGGCACGTACCTCGGTTGCAGTTGTGCGGGTGGCAGCCACTCGATGTGTTCCTTTCACATCGATGTTTCTCTCTCTCTCTCTCTCTCTGTTCCTCTCTCTCCCTCCCACTCTACCTGAACAAAGAATGGAAAAATGTCCTCGGGTGAGGATTAAAAAAAAAACAAAAAAAACGCTTTCTATTTTCTGTAGGCTGCCTCCTTTCGGTGCCTGGCAGGAGCATCTCATAGCATGTGCTCTCCTTTCTGAAAGAGAAACAAATGGATCCTTGTGCGAACCAGTAGCAGGCCTGACTGAGTACTAGGAATCCCAGACAGGGAAGCTCTGTCCTTTACGTCCTCACCAAGTGGAATTACCTCTACACACAATCTCCCCACAAAACCTCTCCAAATTCTTTCTTCCTCTCCAGTCAAGTCTCCCAAAGAGCAAAAACTACCTATTGTGTCAGTGAGCCATTTTCAATTTAGTTTGGGTATAAATAAAAGTCATTTGAAACACAAATCTCCAACTGAGCAGAAGCACTTTTGAATATGAGTATATTCTAATTGGCCCCTCACTTGTCATCAGAACATCAGTAATGGCGGGTTACTGGTAATAACTGCTTTGTAGTTCTCTGTAGCATTCCTGTTTTCATTATAAGCATGTTTTTCTTTACTTCATGAACATAGTTATAAGAACTGCTTTAAACAATTATTTTCTGCTAAATCCAACATCTGAATCATCTGAGTTGGGCTCCATTGTTTGTCTTTTCTCTAGAGAAAGTCATATTTTTCTGGTTCTTCAAATGTTAAGTACTTTTAGATTGTATCCTGAATGCTGTACATGATTATGTTGGGTATTCTGCTGTATTTCTCTGAAGAGTATTGATTGTTTGTTTGTTCTTTGTTAGCAGGCATTTAAGTTCATTGGACTCAAACTGTAAACCGTGTCTTGGGCAGTAGTAGTTCAAATCTCAATTCAATTCTTATATCTTTAGTTGGAGTCTGTCCCACACATGTATGGTTTAGGGGTCATCCAGAGATGTGGGTAGAGTTTATTCACAGAACTTGGGGTTCTCTTTCTTTGGGTCTCTTTCTTCTGAGATTTCTCCCCTCATTTTCCAGAAGCTGTGGTTGCTCTGATTCTTCAACCAGCCTATCAGCCTAAAAGCCATAAAAATGGGAACTCACGTTGCGCCATTTCCTTCTTCCAAGTTTTAACCCCTCTCCAGAATTTGCCTGCTTTTTTGTTTAGTCACCAATACCTTCCGGTAGTTTTTTTGTATTTTGTGAAGTGTTTATAGTTGTTATCCATTGGAAGATCTGTTTAGTAGACACTTAAACTCCACCATATAATAAGTACAGCTCTGAGGCAGAGACTGAAAATGCAAAAGTGTAGTGAGGGAGGGAGGAGCTTATTCCTGGAACAGCCTTTGTTTAGACTCCAGCCTTAATAGCAAAGGAGCCAGTAGTTTCCAGCAGGAAGGAAAATGAAGAACTAACCAAATTGTTCAACCTTCAGGTGCGAAGGGCTAATGACTACTGCCGACCACATCTTCCTGAAAAGCTTTTCTAAGTCACATTTTTTTGCACACATCATGTACATGATGATGATGGTCCCTCCTTTACTTGCTGCCGTATTGGAAGGGCTGACATTTCACTATCACTGTTCCACTTTCTCTGTGAGGACCTGGTACCTAAAAACTGCATGGTTTTGAGTGACTAGATTAGGAAGATTTGGGTCTTTTCCTGGTTACAACACCCATTTCTCAAAGAGCCTTATGTGGAACCAAATTATTGGCCTGGACTCATTGAATGAGAGTACCAGAATTCTGCGTATGAAAGACAAAGCAGTTAAGAAGTGTCTTAGCAAGGGTTTCCTGGTCCTACAACTCAAGTCTGACTTGGTGCATAGCTGAAGTTCACGCCTGTTGTACAAGGGCTCCCAACCCTAACAGCATTGCTCTGTGTCCCAAAGGCCAGAGACTAGTGGCTTCCCTTTCTGAGCTTTAGTTTTTTTTCTATTGTATATAGCCTAGCCTGTTTCCTGAGTTCCTGCTTAAGAACGTTGAGAACATCGATAGACTCGGCTTCTGAAAGGGTTTTAGGTTAAAAGAGAAAAATTTTGCACATGTGGAAATCTATCTCATAGAGTGGTTATTGTCATCCTTATTTAGTTCTAAGGGAGTACAATCACTGATTATTCAGTAAGTGGGAAAAGTATTGGAGTCTAAATGATACATCTAGAAGAATCTCCTCCACCTCAATGAGAATAAATCTCCTTACTAGAGGGGTAACAGACAAGTCCTCTTTGATCATAGCCAATGGCCTGATACTTCATTTGTACTCCTGGGAGGCCATGCAATAGCCAGGATCAATAGACCTAAACAGAACAGATGTATGGCTTGGGTTTTGGGGAATCTTGGAATGGGGCTGTAACCTCTTAATTAATGCCAGATACGGGCTCTAGGGAATTTTTTAAATGCATTGCCCAGAGGGAAGTGCGAAGGAGAATATTTGCCTCTAGACTTGCTGGTTCCTGGCAGCAGTGTTCCTCAGGAAAACATGGTGGAGTTGTTCCAGGATCCCGGGCAGGACAAAGGCAGACCTTGGCACTTTCTTTGGCGTCAACTGTCATGGACATTATTCATGTTTGAGCACTTGCCCTTTGACAGTGTAGTTATTTTTGGTTCTTTATAAAGTCAGAATCTCTGAGTCAGTACCTGCTCAGCTATTCGGCCTTGCCATCTCCAGTCCAGTTCCGTTGCCACCTGCTTTCTGCTCTCATCCTTAATAAGACGATCTTGATTTTGTATTCCCATTACCTTTGTAGAGTATGATCTCATGTGAATGGTTCCCTGTTACTGTTCCATTCCTCACGCAGTTCTAATTACTTGCACAAACTAATTTTGTCATTGGCATCTCCTAGATATAAAGGGACTCAAATATCCCCTTGGACAGTTTTAGAGAAGATATTCTTGGACCTGAGGTGTAGTGAGGCTAAGATACTATGTATTCATGGCCATTTAAGCTAAATATTTCAAAGATTTTTACAAATCAATGTCAATACACTCAAGGAGAACATAGCTAGGGCATCCTTTGGGTAAAAATATGTCAATCTTGACAGAATCTGCACTTTTAAAAAGCAGTGTATTGAAGACCATGGCCACAGCCATTTGATGTTTGGGGAAGAAAGCCAAGACGAGAGGTCAGAGCTCCTCCTGACCTCCTATCATCTGTATCTGTTCTCTGTAACCTCTCCCTGAGTCAGTGTCCCATGGAGGCTCCTGTTCCCTAACTGCCTGTGTGGGTAGGGAAAAGGCCATTAATAAAGGGAAAAGCAGCATGTTTGGTCATAATCCAGCTGGGTATGAGCATCTGTGGAGGCAGGGAATGTGCAGGGCTTTGTACCGAGAACAGAGATAGTTTAGACAGTGAGTGTGCTCAGCAGCCTGCGGAATGCTGGGACTTTGAGTTTCTGGCTAGTTTTAACTTCTCTAATGGATTGCAGCCCCTGAGGACTTCTGGCCCAGCTAAGGGAATGCAGGGTAGTGGGTACAGAAGCAGAAGACCTAGTTCTCAGTTTTGTTTCTCCTTGTCATAATGCCTACAGGCAGGTAATGTCCCTGGATCCCACGTTCTCGAGGGGAAAGTCAGCAGTGCTCACTGGAGATCACTGAAGGGGGATTCAGAGCACCTGACCTTTTGACTTTGACTGCCCTTCATTGGGACAGGTCCACTCGTTTTTCAGAGCTCCAGTTTCTTCAACCGTGGGATGAAATGGCTGGGTTATTTATTTATTTATTTTTATTATTATTTAATTTTATTTTTGTTTCAGATAAATGGCTGGGTTTAATCAGGGTTCCCAAATACTATTGTCAGGTTGGGTTCCACATATCTAAAATGGGTAGCTACTGCTTGGCCTCAGCTGTTTCTTGTTCTAGGGATATAATGTGGCCAGATCTTTGTTTTTTTAACATGAGCAAAACCTATTTTTATGCCAAATCTTCAGATGTTTAAATTTTTAAATATTAGTTAGTTGAAAAAGATAACTAAGAGGAGGCAAATAAGACATCTGTGGCTACTTTTGGTCTATGATCTATTAGTTTACAACCTCTGGACTAGATCTAGAAGGTTCTTTTCTAACCTCATATCCTGCCTCTGGGAAGGATGGGAAGATAGGTAACAGATGTCCAGTGCTTTCAGGTTCAGATGCGGCATGTGT